CTGGGCCTCTGACCTCTTTGTGGCTGCACCCCTCTTGGATGCTGGGCCCCTGGACTTGTCTGGCTGCTGCCTTGAACTCTCTGTCCACCCCAGACTCAAAAACTGCTCAGTCCTTGAGCCTGCCCCTGGAAGGGCTCAAAGCTACCATTGTGCCTCTTGGGCACTAATAGGATCTCCATAAACCTCCCCTACAGCCCCAACTCAAACCACCAGTATAAATAGTAATGTAAACATAAGCCCCCAGGCTATAACATATATAAACCCTGGCAGCAGCGCTACCCACAGCCACGTCAAAATTTTTGGGATCCTGGGGTGCCAGTAGGTCTTGGTCTACTCCCACTCTGTCTAGAGGAAGGGAGCACCACTCATGCGAGTGCTCTGCTGTGGTTCTCCCTGCACCTGACCACATGCTAAATAACTATTTACAATAATGTATTATTTACAATAACAACTGAGAGATTGACAAATTTGACATCCCATAAATAACAAACAATATTTTCAATGAGCTCAATAATAATCTATACCAGCAGATAAAGCAAATACTTATACTTATGTTATCAACTTTAACACTCGGGCAACTCAGGTGTGGCTGCTCCGGAGACCAGGGTTTCTTCCCTTTTCCAGTCTTTCCTGGGCGCCTGCAATCAATCACACCATTCCCCAGACACTTCCCAAGGCAGCTCCCCTGTGTTTGGCACCTGGAGTGCCCCTTCCCAGCTGTACTTAATTGAGCTCTCTGCTGGAGCTCCCCCACAGCCACGATGCCCTGCTGCCTTCTCCAGCTCTCCCAGAAAACCTCCTCTAGCAATCCCCGTCCCTGATTCCCTGCACCCAGGGATCTTAAGAGTGGGGAGGGGAACCTGTTTGCACAACCCTTGCTCCTTCAGTAAAGGATACCAGGCAATCCTGGGCGCTCATTAGCTGTTGGCTCCTCTGCCCTCAGTAGCAGCTCACTCGGCCACAATTCTTCTGCTAGTCGTCCTCTCAGAAGCAACTGTCCTGGCAGCAGTGCCCTCAGAAGCAGCCCTTCTCCCCACAGCTTCAGCTCCCCTCTCCTTACCCAGTCTCCCCTATTTTTTCCCGGGCTTCCTGCCCTGAAGTTACAGCTGTCCAATCACGTGCATGCATTCTGTGTGCACAGCCTGCTGCAGATCCTTGTCCCAAGAGTGCAAACACCCTGATTGAGCTTGCGAGCTCTGAGGAACCCTTTCTGCACCTTTACACGTGCCTCACAACAGTGAAAGCAGCCCTCTGCCCCTTTAAGAAGGCAAACCTTCCTTTACCCTTGAGCTGTCGTACATCCCAACCTGGCTACTTGTGAGCTCCATGAGCCTCAGTGTTTCTGCAGGCAGCAAAGCAATCAGAGCAGTGTCCCTGGGCAAGGTATCCAGGTTGTAGATGTATTGGCCTAGAGGCAAAAGGAATCAAAACTTGTGGAGGAGATGATATCTTTTATTAGACCAACCAGACATTTGCAAACAAATTATTTTATTTATTTGCAAGCTTTCAGGCGCACACACCCTTCATCAGGCATAGGAGAGAGAAAAGATGGTAAAAGTTCTAGATAGAAATGAAAATTCATATTTCTCCTTAGCAGGAGCTTCTAACTCTGCAGCTAGCAAAGCTAGACTGGCTTGCCGCCCCAGGCCTATGTACTCCCAGGGCTCTTCCCCCTTCCTGTCAGGTGACTGCTTGGGCTGGGTACAGGTGCTTGCTAATTGTCTTATTTGCTTGTTGCCCAGGCAGCCTGCAGCTAGTGCATCCTGCCTAGCCTGCAGAACTCCCTGGTTAGGCTGCTTCTTCTCTTAAAGAAACAGAGAGCCCCCAGGCTCTGTTACAGACTGCTTAGATTGTCTCTGCCTAGCCTATAGATCAGGCCTCCTTTCTTTATAAGCTCCAGCTTCCTTGATTTCTCTTGATCCTTAGCACTTTCCTGCTGGAGCCCTGAATCTAGCTACCAAGTGTGAGAGGAAACAAGGAGTTTGATTCCAAGGAATCCAAGCCTTTGACTGCACAATGCTTTTGAAGCCCAGACATGTATTATCCCCATCATAATGGGGTTGCTTAAATATCTTCTTAATCTGGACCTACAATTAGAGTGCCAAATGTAAAACAAGTTAATGGTAAGATTCTCAAACCGGGTATAATTATATTCATTAGGAGTTTGGGTATTTACCATGGATATCTAATTTTCATACAAAGGCTGAAATTATTTTTAGAAGGTAGTTTAACACAGTCCTTACCAATTTGCATAGCAGCTTATAATGATGTGAAATTCAGGGACCTGAAAATATAAGAGCAGAATCTAGGGTTCTATATTCATGAAGAACTCTCATTGAAGATGAAGGGAATTTTGCCCAGGTGACTAAGGACTGCCAGATTTTGCCCTAGAGTAGGTGCACTTAGAAAAGAAGTGCCCTTTTGAAATGAAGTAAGCTTGTGCAACTGAATTTACTAGTCCCCTATCCTCCCACATAAGACTCCTAAAACTCAACCAAACTTAGTGAGTAATTTTTGCTGTGAGAGATGAGAAAATTAATTTATGCTTTTAGTTATAGTGAAGAAAAAAGATGAGGCAAGCAAATGTTATGTCTGACCTGGTTCATTTTTTTCCGTTTTGCAAGGCAGCCATCCTGCAAGCATGCATTTGTAATTCCTGCTTGAATCTGTGATGTAGAATGTGGGCTACAGCAGCGTTTCTCAACCCAGGGGTCACGACCCAAAAGTGGGTTGCAAGAATATATGAAAAAGTTGCGAACAAACTTTAAAAATTAAAGGAGAAAAACGTGGGAAACCAGGGCTTTTCCCTTGCAGGCTGGCAGAGTTCCAGCCTGCCAGGGGCTGCTTGGGGCCCCCCCATGCCCCACATGCACCCCTTGCCTCATACACCCACCTCTGGCCTCACACACTGGGGGGGGGCTGAGGCCTGGGGCAGGGGGCAGCAGGTTGGGAGTGAGGGGCACTGGGTTGGGACTGGCCATTGATGTTTACAAATGGGCTCTGATACAAAAAACGTTGAGAACCACTAGACTACAGGGCTTGTTTCCATAAGCGTGAAAGAGGGCTGAGTCAGCATGGTAGAAGCTAGAATGAGAGAGAACTGTAATCAAAATAATAGTTCAAGCAGACAGCAAAGAGATCAGATGCCCCTGGGGGCAGTCCAAGCTCTATTTCAGAACACTCTTCCTAACTTTACCTTCTGGGTGGCTTAGAGTCTCACTGATTCTCTTTTTCAGCTTTTCCAAAGAGTAAGCAAAAACTTGTACTTGAGATAAAATTTCTGCTTGGCAAGGGTAGGCTCCCTCCCACTTGCCAAGCAGTTAAACTAGTTTGAGTTTCTTCTGCTCAAGGAATTGCCAATTCACCTGCCTCTTTAGGTTTCAGATTGGGATTCCTAGGTGCCAGGATATATAATTCCTTGCTGTATCAGTACACCCAGGTATCTCAAATCTGCCTCCCAGTTATAGCTCTTGTCATTTGAAAGATTATTCTCTCGAGACTTGACATTTCTGGTAAGAGCTGCGGGATGGAGCTAGTTGTAACTCCTCCCTTTAAACCAGCCAGTCAACCCCTTCCAGATTATCCACTAATGTTATCTGCATCCCCTGTTGCAAAGAGGCATTCATTTAAGTATGTTCTCTTTGTGCCAAGAATAGAAGAATAAACACTTTGTCTATATATAAAACTGCATGACGGTAAAGATTTAAGGCAGGGTTGTTAAACTTGTCCCATGCCTTGGGTCAGATCCAAATCATGGTGCTCCTCATGTGCTGGATCCATGAGGCAAGCAGGAGAGGTGGTGGGGCTGTCAGCAGTGGAGGCAGTAGCAGTGGGGTCAGCAGTTACAGCAGTAGCAGAGTGGAGCAAGCAGTCAGGGGCCAAGGGGCAGCAGCCCTGAGCAGCTGCAGCGATCTCTTGATACAGCCCTTGCTCATCCCCTGCCGCCAGCAGCCATGTCCAGTAGGGCCTTGGTTTCTGTAGCAGAATCTGCCTCTTGTTAGCCCCATCCCCAAATTTCTTAGCCTGCCAGGAGCCCTGCTACCTGGATCTGACCTGCAGACTGTACATTTGACACCCTTGATTTATGCAGTGCTGCATTGCTTGAAGCTTAATTTATAGGTGATCAGAGGGGAGTTTTTGATTTAAGTAATGTGTCTTAGATCTAGCTCCAATGCTAATTACCTTTAAAAAATCAGTATTGTGCATGGATTTATTGAGGTCCTTTTGATATATAGACATGAGTGATGTTAACAGTTAAGACATATCAATATGGACATCGAACTGGATAACTACACATGAGTTCTGGAATCAGTCACAATGTGAATGAGATTATCTAATTATAATGTTCATGCAGCATCCACCAAATAGTTTATACAAATGATTTTCAGCCTGTGGGTTGTTTGCAAAGTATTCATTTTGGCCAGCCTCTGTTTCTTGCAACAGAGTGGCCTGTCCCCTTAAGAAGGGGCAGCTAACCCTGTTAAGAAAGTTCAGCTGTGGGGCATTCTGCTAGGGAGGGAGTGTGAGATCTGAAGCAAAAGAGTAGCTTTTCCCTAATGTTTGGGTAGGACAGTATTTTGGTTAGTGTTGCTGGTAACAGGCATATGTCAGGAGGCATAAAGACTAAGCCACCTCTCCTGCAAAAGGCAGCAGGATAAGCAACCTGTTTGAAGTACTGTAATGGGTTTCTCTGCTTATCTTCATTTCAGAGAATAGCAATTTGAAGTGCTGGGGAAACTAAAAGTGAAAGGGTTCTGAGGTGGTATACTGCCAATAGCTAGCTATTGGGAAATATGGATCTACTAAAAATAGCAGATGTTCAAATACAAACAAAATAAAAATCTGGTGACCAGACTTTGGAAACCAGACATGGGACCAGAACAGTGAGTTTGTCACTTTCTCAGTAGTCACATATATACTTAGGCTACATTCAACATATAGTGATATGCTGGATATCATACAATAGTAAATAACCATTAATTTCGTCTCATTTTAGGTTCTTCTTACAAGATGGAAAATAAATTGTTTTTGTGTGTATTGGTGTCCTGTTGGCATTTCCTAAATGGTAAGAAGCTAAAATGTTTAATTAGATTTTCTTTCTATGTGATGATGCTGGCAGTTGTAACTCCTAAATTAGTTTTTCCGTAACCTGTAAGGTCCGTGGTGGCCAACCTTTTTTGGCAGGCATGCCACAATTTCAGCTGCCTCCAGGGAGGGAGGTGACCTTTTTGTGGTGGCCCTGCCCCTTGCTGCTGATTAGCCAAGGGGCCCAGTGGCACCACTCCTTGCTGCTGATTGGCTGGGGAGGTGGCAGTCCCACCCGTCACCACTGATTGGCCACTGGGGGTGGGGGCGGGGGCTGTCCCTCACCAAGGGGATGTCCTATATTCTGGGGATGTGTCAGTGGCCACAGTAGTGGTGACACCTGAGACCTCCTCTTGCAGCAACATCCTGTTCTCATTCCTTTACATTTGGCTGAAGGCTTGAGTCCACCCACCTCCATTCCATTGCCTTCCTTTACTGAGCACTTGGGCCTATGTGCCACACACAGTATCTGCCCCTGCCATATGTGGCCAGAGGCATAATGGGATACCTGAGTGCCCTGGGCACCAGTGGAACATGTGGCAGCATCATTGGCTGTGCTGTCAGTGGCACAGCTCCTTCCAGGGTCAAAACAGGGTGCCCCAGTTGCCCTCCCTTTGTTACACTCCTGCTTGCGGCGTATGTGCCAAGGATTGGCCATGCCTGTTCTGGGTTGGGGAGAGGGGGAGAAGATTCATTGCTTCATTCAGATGCAAATGTTAAGTGAAATGTGGGCTTGAATAGAGCTGGATTGAAATCCTTGGCCAGGACAGAATTTCTGTTTATCCACAAAGCACCATGGACAGAGATAAGACCAGAAACCATATGCAGAACATTGCAAGTTTGTAGGCTCTAAACATCCAAGGAACTATGCTGCATATCTATGGTAATATCTACAGAACTGCTGTCTGTTAAGTCTTAACCCACATACAAACAGAGGATTGTCACAATTTGCAGCAGCAGTGCAAACTTCCTCCACAGTGTTCTGAAATAGCAGCTCACCGTACACCCACACTTACTTTCTATGCACAAAAATCCTTTGTGTGCACAGAGCAGATATCTGCAGGTGTAGACAACCAGTCAGTATTCATTTGTATGAATTAGGTATGCATCAATCTACATACAACAATGGGAGAACCTACCCTTGAATATTACATTCACAATCAGAAAACAAAATTCACATCTGAATTCTGTTTTTCAGCTTTGTTCAGAGTCGAAGTTCCCCAGACACTGTACATTGTAGACTACGGGAATAATGTAACCATGGAATGCAGGTTTCCAGTGAATGACCACTTAGAGCTTAAAGATTTAAGTATCATTTGGGAGAAACAAGAACAAAACACAAAAGAGGTTTACAAACTTCATAAAGGGAACGAAGACTTTACAACCCAACACAGCGACTTCAGTGGAAGAATAAAACTGTTTCAAGAGAAACTGAAATTGGGACAGTCTTTGCTTCAGATTAGCAATGTAATGTTCACTGATGCAGGCAATTACCTCTGTCTCATTGGCTATAGAGGAGCTGATTACAAAAAGATCACCTTGAAAGTAAGGGGTAAGCATTTTACTGCGATGTCTGTTTACTTACAAGTCTTCCCTCATTGACTTCAATGGGGTGGCAATGGTGCCAAAGGGTGAAATTTTGTTCTTGATCACTAACTAGCGTTTCCTAAGTGTGTAAGATCACAGCTAACTATGTGCATTGTAAGCTCAAATACAGAGAAAAACTGCCTCCCGCTCTTTCCTTCCTCAAGCATCCTTTATCTCAGCAGTTCTCTACTTCTTAGACTCAAAGTACCCATTGAAAATTCCAGCTCTTAATTTTCACTCAAAAATTAAGGTGACATATGGGGGGCAGGGGGGAAATATAGGCAGTGTGTCAGGTTGGCATAAGGGGGCATGTGTCCATCCCAGATTTCTGCGCTCACAGCAGAGCATGAGGCTGCAGCCTGGCTGGACTGGTACCGGGCAGGAGCGCCCTCCTCAGCCCAGAGAGCAGGACCCGGTGCGGCAGGGCGAAGCAGGGCAGGGAGGCTTGGTGCTGCTGCCAGGAGCACTGCACCATCATGACCACCAAGGTTAGGTGCCCTCTGCCCAACCAGCAGCAGCAGGAGGGCACAGCTCCACACCGCTGCCTGCTGTGGCACTTCACCTTAGTGGCTATGGTGGTACAGCTGGCATGAGGTTCCCAATGGAGTTGTGCCCCCCTGCTGCTGCTGGGTGGGTGGGGGTGCCTCACCTTGGTGGACATGGCAGTGTGGCGCTCCCTCCCAAACCAGGTCCTGCCCTCTGGGCCACAGAGGCAGCTCCTGTCCGGTGCCAGTCTGGCTGGGCTGCAGCCCCATGCCCCGCTGTTGGCACAGGTACTTAGGGGGGGCATGTGCCTCCCCATATACCCCGATGCATTGCCTATGGCATCACCTATGCCCACACACCCCCAGCCCCACAAACACACCCCCTTCCCTGCACACTGGGAGAGCAGGGGGCAGGGGGTTGAAAGTGAGGAGCACCAGCAGGACTATGGGGGTGGGGTTCTGTGGGTTGGAAGTAAGGGGCACTGGCAGGGTGAGGGAGCTGCAGGTTGGGAATGAGGGGTACCAGCAGAGCTGAGGGCTGTGGGGGACTGTGGGTCAGGAGTGAGAGGCACCAGCAGGGCTTGGGGGCTGTGGGTCGGGCATGAGGGGGCATCAGCAGGGCTAGGGGGTTGTGGGTTGGGAGTGAGGGGCACTAGCAGGGCTGGGGGGATTGAGGGACTGTGAGTCAGGAGTGAGGGGCATCAGCAGGGCCAGGAGGCTGTGGGTTTGGAGTGAGGGGCAATGGTATGGGCAGGGGTAAGGCACTGGTATATCAGGGCTGCTTAGTGCCACAAAGCAGCAGGGGAGTAAGTCACAGCTGGACCTAAATCCTGGTAAGTGAAGGGGGCAGGGGGAGCTCTGATTTTCCATGGTAAAAAACCCACAATCAAACACCAAAATATATAGTTATTTAGAATTTATTTTATTATAGTAATTGAGGCACTGGTAGGCTTCCAAATTGCTTTAAAATTGTAAATATTATCAATAAAATGTTGTGTTCAACTAATAGATACATATATATACATGTATACATATATATACTGGAATTTCATTTTAATCGGCGGGGGGGATGCAGATTTGGGGAGTTTTTCATCAGAGGATTTTGGATTTTTTAACAGACAAAACCAGGATCCCTGATCATCTGTCAACCTCATTTTCATTCTGAGAAGCTATGAAATGCTTTTCACAAAACAATCAGGTATATATTGCAGGCAGGGCTTTGTAGCAATACACAAATAATTATTCAGTGTCAAGAATGCAAAGTTAACTACACACTGTTCTTCACAAAAATATATTGGAAAATAGGCAAACAAAGATGAATATTAGTACCACCTTGATGCACAGATACTTATACAAGTAAATTCCCCAAAACCTGATTGACACTTTAAGTTAAATTGAGGCTTCAGATACAGGTATGGTGTAGAAAGACTAGTGTACTGTCTCTTGCGCTCAACATCAGGAATGGACTGTCCTGATGCTGCATAAATAGGACCGCTTCTAAAGCACTAGCAAAGCTGCCTAACCCCATATTTCCTTATGGGTGTAGCCTGTACATTTGGCTTTTAGTGCCTTAGACAGCAATGAGACAAATGAAGAATGATTCTGTGGAGGCGAGCAAAATGGGGCAAGCACTGGGCTGGAAGACAGATATGATAGTTAATAGATTTTGCAAAATGGTAATGAAAATAGATCAGTACAGGCACAAAACTTTCTTCTCCACCTTTAATGTAATAAGCATGCAAACTATACCTTGCCTATCAAAAAAATATGGTAAATTGGTATGTAGACTTAAGATTAAAAGGCAGGCTTGGCAGAGAGAATGCCCCACTGAAAATAATAACAGGTGTTTCTTCCTGACTGAAATATATTTTTTATTTGTTTAGCTCCTTACAGAAACATAACCACAAGAACTGTGCCTATCCAAAGTAGCAGAGTACACAAAGAAAAAGTGCTAACATGCAAGTCAGAAGGATATCCAAAGGCAGAAGTCATCTGGCAGAATGGAGACTACCATGATTTGAGTAACAAGGCAAATACAAGTTATGAGACTGGAACTAACCAACTGTACCATGTGACAAGCACCCTTACAATTGACATAAGGATTAATGAGACTTTTCGCTGCATATTTTGGAATAAACAGCTTCAAGAAAACACATCTGCTGTTTTTATCATATCCGGTAACATTTCTGAACTTAAGTATGATAATACATTCATTGTAAGGTACAGTCTGGGTGGACTCAACCACTATCTTTTTCCTAATCTAGACAAGATCCTAAAGAAACATAATGTAGAAAGAAATGGGTATAGCTGAGTTTTAGGCATGATAATTAGAGACTCTAATGGGTTTATTATGTTGGGGTTTTTTAATTAGGTCTGTATATCAGCTTCTTTTGTGGGACTGAGTAAGTCAGAGAACTGCTCTGCCTCAGTTCCAATTGTGCAAATGAGAACAACATCTCACAGTACTTTTATAGACATTAATTTGATCATGAATCAGCACTCTGAATGGGTAAAGTACTAACTATTGCTATTAGTATATTTTCTTACCATATTCATATTTCCAGTATACATCTGTAATTGGCACTACTGGTTTAGGGTTGGAAATTTTGCGTAGCCTTGACAAGTTTTGTATAAATTATCTATGAATCTATGACAGGAAATGACATATAGTTTTCCTAAGAAACATGAACAGAGTTTGGTGCTTAGAAAGAAAACCTTCTCCTAAATTAACTACAGTTTCCAGAACTGTGCAGTTAGACACTTGTTACAATCATGGTAACTTGCACAACACAGTTCCTGTGTGCTACGATTGCAGTCCTTATTCCTATGCTAAATTTAAACAAATTGGTATCAGGATCAAAATCTGTACACAGCTGAGCTGGGTCTTGGAAACTGTTGGGGTACGGCAGCAGGGCAGGGGGGACAGGGGAATGGGAGGATCTAGGATTTAAAAAATGGGGGGTGCAGATGGTATGATCCATCACTGCACAACACAAAATATATTTTTCTTCGGTTAAAGAGAATATTGAAGATTTACTAATATTCTAGGGACCCAGCACTATAAGATTCAGTTTAAGATCAAAGCAAAACCAAATACAACTTTATATGATTGTGGACTAATATGCTAGATTATATATTAAATTTAAAAAAAGACAACAAATGACAAAAATAATCAAAAGAGATTCTTTTATTCATCCTTCTGTAATTGTACTTAAATGTACAGGTCACTGTTATGGTTATGGTTTTAAGCCAGAAATGAAAACAGTCTACAGAGCTGTAAAATAGAAGAGAGAGATTACCAGGAATGACTGACAGACATCAAAATTGCAGGAGAAAAGATAGCTTGATTAATGGAACGTCAAGATTATTAAAGAGAGAAAGGCATGTTAACATCTTTGAGTGAAGAGATATTACCAGGAATCAGGTAGAGATTACTAGGAACTGACTCCCTCAGGATTTCTTGAATAGAAATGTCACTGGCAGTTTGTTTTAAAGTTTGGGTAGAGCTGGAAACAGGGGGTTGCAACTGTACCTCTGCAACCCCCTGGATCTGCCCGTGAGCAGGGATGTTGCAGTGAGCAAAGAAAGCAAATTAAATTTGATGGGGAAATGCCTCATGTGGGGGATTCAGTCTAGCCTTATGCCGCTTTGTGGAATTTTACCTTCCCAAAGGGATTTTTTAGGCTTTCTCTAACAGCTATTCTAACAGCTCTTTTCTTGAGCACCCAGATTGAGGAAGCTGAGTGGCAGTAACGACTTCATTCACTTTATCTTGTTTGAAATGGTTTATATTTACTGATGTAATGGGATGTCAGTGACCTGAGCAAGATCAGATGGCTTGCAGTGCAGCATCAGCGGCTATCTTGGAATAGAATTCAAAATGTATTGCTGCTTATCTTTTTGTGGGCAGTCTGCTGTATACAGGCCATCCAGCAGAATTAAGCTAGAAAGCAAAGAAGAAAAGCAGTAATGTCATTCTGAATTGTTTAGAGAGGAGACATCTGGAGTACTTAAGTGCATTGTGGGAAGGAGAAATTATAACTGCAGTATAAACAGGGAAGTATAATTTTTCCAAAACAGTTTTTCTTTGGTTTAAAAATCAGTTTCTAAAACAGTATATATCTTTTCTCATTGATTCATCCCCCTTCACATGTCTCTTGTTATAAAATATAATGAATTCTGAGAATATGTATAGGGTTCAAAATTATTTCAACTTCTCAAACTAACTTTGAGTTTTTGTGAATGCGGAGATATCAAATAAACCTGTGATAATTAAAAGCATTCACTTTAGACTTTGAAGTTTTATTTTGTTTGAATCTATGAACTGATTTGAAAAACAAGGGAAAAAAACTGCAAAAAATGTTATAGGGGTTTTGTAGCTGTTGTTAAATTTCTATGATACAGAAGAATTCATCCTTCTCCAGTAATTAAACTGGAGACTGTCATGAGCTTATCTCCTAATACTTTTTAATATTTTTTAAGGTTATGATGAAGATAACAGCAGACACCATGGACTAATAGGTGTGGCAGCATTTTTCCTTGTATTATTGCTGTTATGTTTATTCGGGATTAAAAAAGGTATTGTTTTTAATTTATTTCTCTAATTCCGTATCTTTGTATTGCTTGCCCATACTAACAGGGTTATACTCAACTGATAATGATCTATTCCACCCCCTTAACACTGAAACCATTGCTTTTTTTCTTTCCTAGTTTCTCCATCTTTCAGCTGTCTTTCTTTTCAACTTATCTTTCCACACCATATGCTAACCACTAAAGCAGTGTTTATTCTCTGTCTAACACAATAAAATGTGTGGCCATATCTCTATAGCAGTGATTCTCAAGCAGTGTGCCACAGCACCCTGGGGTGCCTTGAGATCTTTTTAAGAGTGCCAGAGATTTCTAATAGGAATCAGTGGGTACATCTGCACATGCGCTTTACTACAGAGTGGACTAATTAGCTATGAAGTAAATCATCACAGTCTACACATGTGCCCGTATTAGGGCACAGCAAACTAATTAACTCTCACAGGATAGTACTGTCAGGGACAGTACTGTCTCACAGCAGAGTCATTTACTGGGCTGAAATGCACATGTAGATGGTGCCCCGGGGTGTGGGGGCAGACTCCTGGCTGCCACCCAGCCCATGGCTCCCCATATTCAGCACACTCATGCCCCAGCCAGCCCCAACACTGCCCAACACTGCCACCCAGGGCTGACCCCTCAAGCCTGCTGCAAACCTGGGCATACAGTAGACCCCCGATTTACGTGAGTATTGTGTTCTGCGGGAATTTCATGTAACTTGAATTCATGTAAGCCGGGACAACTTTCCCTATAGGAAATAATAGAATAGTAAGGGGTTGCATACCCCAGACATACCTTAGTCATAGCTTTTTTTCACCTTTTCTCGGTGGAATTGCCTTAAGGAGGTGTGTCTAGCATCTCAGCTATGCATCTTGAGATGCTGCTACCACAGTGGCAGCACAATGGCTGCACAGCTCTGCTCGATTCCACCTGCAAATCTTGAGGTGTTCGCATATATATGCGAATCTTGCGAGCATTCATGTATATGCAAATGATGCACATCTTGAGAGGCATTTTCCAGTCCGGACGCTAATAAAAAAATCGCCTAAATGCGAGACACACGTAAGTCAGAATTGCGTAAATCAGGGGTCTACTGTATTCAGCCCTGGCTCATAGTGTTGCTGTCTGGGGTACACATGTAGACACTGCACCTGGGAGCAGTTCATTCTGGCTTAAATTGCTCTGGAGTTTATCACTCCATTTTAATTACACGTGTAGATGCACCCTGTAGTGTTAAAACCATTCCACCCTGTTGTGGGATTTCTGATTTCTTTGCAATAGAAGAATTGCTCTGGTATTTTTCTGTAACCAAAAAATAAGTGAAAACTAAGACCTGGTATTTTCTGAGGGGCATGTTGGGTTTATCCAGGGGTGCCTTGACTCTTAATAGGTTGAGAACCACTGCTGTATAGGCACATTTCCATTGATCAACCTGTATGTGATGTTGCAGAGCGGTGTGACAGGTGCTTTAATTTACAGAAGGGAGTTATAGAAATACATTCTAGATGCAACTTTCTGATAACTAGACTGCCATATAAATAACCAAGAAGCATCTGCAAGACTTTTTGAGATTTATATCTGGAAGATTTTTAGCACACGAGGGACCTGCTGTGGCTTGGCACCACTAGTGAGATTCGTTTCTCAATATTTTTTTCATGTAAGGATGAGAGCTGCTTTACACAATTTGACTAGCTAAAATTTGGTAGCTTCAGGGCATTCTAGATTTTACAGAGTTGAAGTTCACCGCAGGACCAAAAAATCATTAAAAAAATAGATTGTTTGAGACCACACCTAAAATAAAAATACTTTAGTTTTTCTGGCGAAATGAAAAACTGAAAAATTCTGTTCCTAAAATATTTCATTTGACCTGGAAATAAAAATCCACTTTCTGGGCCTTCTATTCTTTAAATATTTTAAAATTTAAAGTTAGGAAAATTCATCCCAAAATATTTCATTTTGAAAATGTGGAAATGGAAATTAGATGTTTTGACTTCCTGGACTTTTTTTTCCAGCCAAAACTGTGTACTTAAATTGACAGGAATTTGTTAAAAGTTTCAGCTGCGTAAAACTAAGGAGCATTTTTCAGGGATGGGATCTGCCACCTTTTTTAGGCTCTGAGCCAGAGGACCCCAGTTTGGGTCACAGGTGGGCAGAGGCACAGGTGCTGCTAGGACCTAGCTACTGCCACTACTTTGCCCTGCGTCAGCACAAAGAAAACACCGCAACTGACATTTCTCCCCAGGGCGGCAGGGGAGAGGACTGCTGCCAAAGTCCTCCACCGCTGAATGCTGCGGAAACTCCATGTCTGTGGGCTGGATCAAATGATTCCATAGGCTAAATTCAGCCCACAGACTACAATTTTTTTATCTCTGTTTTAGAGCATAAACTATTTGTCCAAAAATGTCACCCAGCTGTATGCAAAGGACCTACTTAAAAAGTACTGTGGGCTTCACTGTTCATGTTTAACTATTAGTATAATAAAATAACCCTGGTTTATCATATTGTAACAATATGACCAGATAACTGGTAAATCTTAATCTGGTAATATAGCAGACATAAACATACGGCTTGTGTGTACTTCTATTGGAAACAGAGCCAAGCATTATCTTTTTTACTGTAGTCCTCTTTTCCAGTAACAGCTGTTTGTAGAGGCTTATGAAATTGCAGACCTGAAAAAGCAAACACTTTTTTTCAGCTGGCAGTACTTCCTGACCAGTAATCACATGGGAAAGCTTTTATCACCAAAGTCTATTAACATAGTGTGTTCCTTTTCTGTCAGGTTAACAAGACAATATACAATATAACTCTGTGAGTCTCAATTAATCTTTTCACTACTTCCCTCTACCAGGTGCTACTAAGATGTCTCTGTCAGGCCTGGGGAGAATTAAGTCCTTTTGTTCTTCTATAAAAGCCTTGCAGATACAGTTAGCAAGTTTTAGAATAAACTGAATCAGGCATTGCTCTATCAACGTCATTTTTGCCATAAGGGTTTAGTAGTAACAGGAGTACGAAGTTAAAATGAAGGATGGAACAGGAAAAAGTCTTGATTTCAATATATCATATTTAAAGTTAGGAAATTTAGCAAATTAGTAAGCTCCTAAATTTCCTTAGTTAGAATAATTTAAAATTGTGTAAATATTTTCTTAAGCCCCAAATCCTTTGATAAAAGACATTAATTCATATGGGAAACGTATTTTATAGTACCTTTGAAGTTAATTCAAATAAGGATAAAACAGAACAGCACACAAACATTTATTATTAGTCTAATAATCAACAAAGATTTTTTTTTTTAAATCCAGTTTGGACCAGACAGTTCCCTGACAAAGGATTTAAACAAAGGACTTTTTTTTCTCTCTGTGGCAATGGAGCCTAATAAATAACAGAAATTTGTCAGGTAGCTTTTTTTCTGATTTTGCACTGGGACAGTGACAAAAAGTCTTTTTAAATGGGCACTGTACCTGATTTGTAGTTTATGAAATTATACAACAGCAAATAATATAGATACTTTGTAGTGACCCTAAATCCAAAATGAGTATTTCTTTCCCTTTTTCATCTTCTTCCTTTTTTGTTGCAGCCAGAGAATATAAGTACAGTAGGACGTGTACAAAAAACTCATTACCGGATGTGACAGGTAAACATTACATAAAGTTGGCTCCAAGTATCTCAAATGAAAATGGCTTAAACAGAATTTATTAGGCAACATTGCCTCCAATTTAACATTGTCTTTTTCAGTTATGTAAAAACTAGACAGTAACAATTAAAGAATGGGCCTTGGTACCTTTATTCTGCAAGAGGGTTTTAAAAGTGTATGCTGTGAGCAGTGCATTAAAAGCAATTAAACTACTAGACTGGATAGATGCCAAACCTGGACAAGCTTTGTATACAGTACAAGCCATACCAAAATGAATCATGGGTTATAGCTAAAATTCTAGGCAAAATGCAAAGTACAAGATTTTCAAAAATGACTGGTAATTTTGAACCAATTCTTTGGTATTCAGTTTGAGACACGTTGAAGGTGTCTTCCAAGTTCAAGAAGGCAGTAGACCGGGGTGGGCAAAATGCAGCCTGTGGGCCAGATGCAGCCTGCCAGGCCATTCTATCCAGCCCGCGGGGCCCCTAAAAAATTTAGAGAATTAATATTTATCTGTCCCTGGCTACCTGTCATGTGGCCCTCAATGGCTCGCCAAAACTCAGTAAGCAGTTCTCCACCCAAAATAATTGCCCACCCCTGCAGTAGATCCTAGCTTTGTTGGAAGCCAGTTTATTCAGAGCAAATGCCAGCCCAGTGCAGCAGCTATGCACTCTTCAAAGAAACCTATTCTATAATGTAGAATGGCAGAGTCACCTGTAGGTTGAGTCATCTGTAGATTTCCCTCAGACTTCATATCTCATGCAAATAAGATCCCAACCCTACATTGCACCATATTCTTGATTCTTAAGTGTGCCAGATATCACAAGCCCCAACTGCAAAGACTGTAGGGGTAAGAGCTTAAAGCTAACTGCTGCCAAGACAGGCTGGAACTATGGAACTTTTAAAAAATAGCAGGAATTATTAGTTCCACCTTCTCTGCATTTTATAGATTTAAGATAACTTTTCCCTGGGTTAAATTATGTATTGATTGACATCTGTGCAAACCCATTGGACAAATGGATACAGTTCAGTGCAGAGTTGGCCCTTACTGTAAAAACTTTTGGTGAGAAAGAGGTGAGGAAAAATGTGAGGGGGATAGAATTAATCAGAGATTAAAATGCCTTCATAAAAGCATGTTGATTTCTTTTTGTACAATTCTTATTCTGTTTTTTTCTCTTACAGATGTACGAATTGAAGAGACTTAGCTTGTATTAGCAGGAGAAGGTTTTTCTAACTACCCCATTTTTATTTTATTTTAAATCCTGGGTCTGATCCCTATATCATTTATGCCAATGTAAATCAGGAAAAACATAAATGCTATTACTGGACCTACGTTTTGCATCATGGCATCAGAGTCAGGCCTTCTAATATATATGTTTGTATTTATTTAAGTGTCAAGATGTCTGCTTTGTCAATGATGCACTTTCAGGAACGTTATTTATCTTTCTTTTTTTTTAATAGTTTAAAATTAAAAGCACTTTAAATTCTTGACCCTAGTTAATTTCATACTCATTTTTTAAATATTCTGTTTTGTGAGCTCAAGTTTTTCTCTGAGCTTAGAATTTCTTGCTGAGACCACACCTCTTTCCAACTTCCATGGATAAAGCTGCCATCACTTTGCTCCACACTAAGGATTTGGATGGAATGAGACTGAATGCCATGCATGCAGGCCAATTTCTTTTGTACCTGTATTTCAAGATATGGACAATGTGTAGTTAAGGCTGAAACATGCTTCTAAACTCTTTTGTAACAACAGGGTTCCTCCTGGTTTGGGAATCAGCAGATATTACCCACAGGGCACTTAATTTTTTGTACTTCGAGGAAGACTTTACTGGGGCTTATTGTTCCTGGGAATGAAGTTTGCACTACTGGCTGCCTGCTGGTCACTATTCTGATCCACTGCCTGCTGATAATATAGAACTTTGGATCTTCCTGAAGAAGAGCTCATGAAGTGGACAATCTTTTTCTTTCTTAGAGAGAGTTGTAATGCAACACGTTATATGAAGCAAAAGGGACATTTATGAAATCATTCAGTAGGTACTCTAGCACTGATTTCTGGATTCCATTCATTAAGCTATTATATTTAATTGTATTTTGCTAGCTGCCTAGCTGTATCTGGATACCCTTGTGTCATAAATAAGAATTATTTATTACAATAAAATTCACAATTATATTTTTTTAATAAAATGCTTTTTTCTCTTTGTTTTTATATTCTAACTCCTAAGCACCTCTCCTTTTTGGTATGGATTTTCTTTACATTGGTTTATCGAGAATTTTTTAGGACTTCCAACAGCTTCTATGAAAATATTTAGAAGGTTGTATGTATACTAGTACATAAACCAGAATCATTACTCAGCATCATCCCAAATGACCTTTTCCTGGACTACTAGAAAAACAGTTTTTTGAGATCTAGGAACTCATTGCACTCAACATTTTTTTCAGTAGCCTAGTCTTGACTGTGAAGAAATTAAAGAGATTTTACTACCTATGGACAACATTTTAAACTCGGCTTCAGCACTGAAATATTCAAAAATACATAGGGTAAAATTCATAGCTGTGCAGAGGGCCAGCATAATGAATATGCACCTCTTTAAACCTACTTAATCACTTAAAATAGGGATTAAATTAAAATGGCTAATGCACCTTAAATCAGCATGTGTAGACATGCTTAGTGACATTTTAAGGTGTATTAAGGGTGCAGGTATGCACCTTTAATGTGCCTTAAAAATGGTGATTTTAAGCTATTCGCTAAATTTAATACCTGCAAAAGCAGGTATCAAATTTAGGCACAAGTAGCTGAAGTACCTTAACACACATATAGACACGCTAAGGTGCATTAACACTGTGTATGTCGACTGACTTGGGACTAACTTTAGTTCCAAGTCAGTCCACACACTGCATTAATGCACCTTTGTGCGTGTGTTGCCCTGTGGGGTCAGGCCAACACTCAGGATCTCAATATTGCACTGTTAGACAGGAGGGCATGGTGTACAATTGCACATATACAAACACATAAATCAATTAGGAGCATACACACACCCACACTACCAGCTCAGGCACATACACATCCAAGCCAGCCTAGGCACATGCATACCTATCACCAATTCAAGCACATACACCATACACCGCAAAAGTTAGACACAGATCACTAATTTGTATATCATGCACACAGTGCCATATAAATATATACACACACACTCACACTAGCAACTCAGATACACACACGTTCAAAATAACTAGTGTAGGTTCATGTATACCTATCACCAGTTTAAGCCCATACACGCTACGCACATCAAATTTAGACAGAATCAGTTACCAGTTATCAACACCTGCACATTCAATACACGTACGTGGATTACTAATTTATATACCACACATACACAATGATATCTATATATATGTGTGTGTGTGTGTATTCACTAATTTACACACATACCACCCACCTACACATACACACAGGTGAGTTCCTAAATTGGGTGTTGTGATGTGTATGTATGTATGTGCTTGGTGTACTGGGATACCTGGGGAAAGGTTAAGGTAAGAAAGTAGAAGTGTAGGGAGTTAAAGTTACCAGGACCGGGATTAGAACCGGTAGACTACAGGGGCCTGGGTTGAAGAACTGAAGCTCAGGGGTAACTTTAGGTTAATTGATGTTAATTGGTTAAAAGACAATGCCCAAAGCCTGCAGAGCATGGAAGCAATGCCGGCACAGATGTTGGGACTGGAGCCAGAGCTACGGGGGAGCTGAAAAGGTAGGTGCTGGAGAGGGAAAGTGGGACTAAGGGAAAGTATGGGTGTTAAAGAGAGGCTCTGGATGTGGGGAGCCAGAGGATGGCTCCGGGGAAGCTAGAGAAGTTGCAGGGAGTGGCAGAAGGTTCTGGGAGCTGGAGAAAGGCTCCAGCTGCTGGAGAAAACTGCAGGACTGCCATGAGGAGCTGGGAAGCTGCAGGGGTGTAAGGACTACAGAAGGTGCGGGGGAAACCTGAAAACAGAGAGACAGACAGCAGAAAATCACAGGAAAAGCAGCAGGAGAGACTGAAAGGCGGCAGGGGCAATGGGAAAGCAGAGATAGGCAGCAGAAAGTCACAGGGAAAAGGCAGTGGGAATTGAGAGGAGATCGGGAAACTAGTGGAGAGGGGTGGGGGGCTGGAGCTGAGAGAGAGAGAGAGAATGAGGCTAGAATTTAAGATAAGGAAGGGACTGGGATTTAGTAAAACATAACCCAACTCGGGGGTTGCAAATGACAGTGGTTTTATTGAACAGGGGAGATGGTGAGACAATGTCTTATTGGTTCCCTTGTACCCACCCACCCACCCACCCACACAATGGCAGCAGGGGTTAGAGAGGCTTGGTGCAGGGGCTGAAGTCCACTGAAGTCCAGGAGGAGAGAGAGAGAGAGAAAGAGAGAGACCAAATTGTAGAAGGAGGTGTGCAAGTAATATCTACCTATCTAGGCTGGAAAGGGGTCTTTCTCCAGTAGGTGTCCAGAGGGGGGTTGCCGGCAGGGCATCTGGGCAGTTTTGGGTGTCTGTAATGGTGAGAGTTGCTGGTTCTGCAGGGTCTTTTGTCTTTCAAATGCTGGGTTCTTGTCTCTGTTCCTGGATGAGGTCCGTGGTTCCTGGATGAATCAATGCGAGGTGATGGCCCAGTCATTACAGGCCATTCAGTAGAGGCCTGCTACCATTGTATTTCAATCATTCCCAATCATTCTCATTAATTGGGGAACCAATTTACATGGGAGGGGTACGTGACGCATACAGTTGCAACATGGGATGTCCAGGCAGAGGACAGAAGATGGAGGCTTGACATATAAAATGGAAACTTGACATGACTTTGGTTCACTTACAAACACAGGCCTAAACCATACAATATCCATATGAAACAATAAAAATCAATACAGAAATGATAATAATACAATATACAACAGTAAAAATCAATAAAAACCTAATAATAATACAATATAAAACAGTGTATATCCAAAACCAAAAACTTGCTACCAAAATAAAAATGTTTAAAGCTTATCCTAAGTCTGAGCTCACTTATACTTATCTATAGGGAATAGAGAGGGAGAGAAAAAGTCATAGGGAATAGAGAGGGAGAGAAAAAGTCAGAAATGGTTGGGAAAGGGAAGGGAATGCATTTTAAAATAAATAATAAAAAAAAAGAAAAACGGGGGGGGGGAGGGGTTGCTACACCTGCACATGTAGATGCGTGCCTCAATTGCCTTAGAGCAATTAAGCAAATGCACATTAAATTTATGTGTGTATAAAAGCATGTGTAGACACGCCCACGGTGTAGACTTTACAAGGGATGAATTTTAGCCAGGAAAAAAATAATTCCTTAAATGGACAAAACCTTATTCAAGAAGTTATTTGACACCAGATCTTATCCCAAACTCTTAAAAAACAAAAACGAATCCTTTAGCTCCTTTGAGAATTTATGAACACTTGATCCTGACGCCACACCAGCGAACAAGTTTGCTGCATCGCCCATCTCTGTCCAAACTCCCTTACGCTGGGCGGCACTGCTTGGACCAGGCTGAGCTCCATAGGGCTGGTGGATCCGATTGGTACACAGCCCAGCATCGGGAGGCAGGCAGAGCCGGCACTGTGCTCCAGTCAGCTCCGCCAGGTCCAGGGAGTGCAGCCCAGAGGCAGGAGGCAGGGAGAGCCAGGGCTGCGCTCCCCACTGAGCTGAGCCAAATGGGGTTGTGCAGAGCTGCTGGGAGCACAGCCCTGGCTCTCCCCCACCTCCTACCACCTGAGTGGGCTGCTGCTTCAAAACTCAAAACGTTTCAAAACTTTCAAAATGTTTCGACTGGCCTCATTTCGTTTCAAGGCTGTTTTGAAGCCCTCTGTTTCATTTTAATTTTGTTATTTTAAGCTCAAAATGAGTCAAAACAGTGTCAAAATGAAGCAGCTGGTGAAATTTTGCACAGCCCTAATGTCTATACAGCTTATTCCTTGGAGCACTTCAAGGGCACTAATGAGGTTAACAGAATATATAAATTTCAAAGTGCCATATGAAAAGCAAGTTACATTTTTAACTGTAGAGAGGTCAGTGATATAGTCATAAATGGTTTTGCTCTATTTTTATTATTGATATGGATGCATGCTGTAGCTTCTTGCTGTTTGATCAACAGGGATCCAGGTTTTCCATTTCCCACAGAAAAATGGAGTAAAACGTAGAATTCCCCCTTTACCGGAGAAAAACACAGATTTCTCTTATTAGCAGAGAAACCTACAGATTTTGCAGTTTTGCAAAGAGCTCTCTGAAGGCTGGTAGAGTTTCAGCCTGCAAGGGGTTGGGAGGGAACAGGAGGTGGGTAATCAGGTAGGGGGCGCCATGCACATGTACATGTAGTCTTTGGACTTATGACACATGGTTCCTGAAAACCGCATCTTAAATCGAAATGTTGTAACTCGGAACCAATTTTTCCCATAGGAAACAATATTATAAACGGGGGATTGGTTCCTGAACCAAGGCCCGATACCCTATTTTCACCAAAAATAACCCAGAATTTTGTAGTCAATCAATTATAGATGAATAATATAACTACATTAATATTTATATTGTAAATAGCAATCATATTGATTTGGAAGGACTTCTTTGAGGTGACTTTGCTGGACTTTTTGAAGGGCTCTTGGTTGGACTTTTTGAAGGGTTCTTGGCTAGAGTCTTCTCAGGAGTCTTGGCTGCAGGTTTTTCTGGAGTCTTGTCTGCTTTCTTAAAGTGTCCAAGTAAGTTTGGACAGAGATGGGTGATGCAGCAAACTTGTTCACTGGCGTGGCATCAGGTCGGAGCAAGTGTTGTAAAGTTGAAACTGACGTCAGAAAGTTGAAACGGTGTCAATTTACAAACATTGTAAGTGTGAAACGTGACTCGAAATGTTGTAAGTCAAGGACTGCTTGCATATGCACATGACTGCCAGGCTGCCTGGAGAGCAACTTCTGCAGGTAAGTTGTGGGGGGTGGTATTGAAGCCCCCATAGAAAGGGAGGGAGGGAGTTGGGCAGGGCTGAGGCTGGGACTACTGCCCAGCCCTGCAATGTGTGGGGCTTAGGGCCCAGAGCTGCAATGTGTGGGGCTTAGGGCCCAGAGCTGCAATGCGTGGCTGCAGGGCCTCAGCGGAGAGTTGC